ATTTTTAATCTATTCTGATATGATGGTTCTCATATTTTAATCATTACAGTGATGGCATTACACACTGTGAAATCATTCAATATTTACTGCATGATATTTACCCTTTTCTTCGACATCTGAATCAGAATCCACCAGGCTTTCTTCACTCCCTGAATCTTCTTCATCTTCTTCATCCTGGCCACCTTCTTCCTCACAGCCACTTTCATCCCTTTCCTCCTTAAATAGGAGGAAAACCATGATAAAAAATAAATGAGTTGCAATACTATTCCTTACAATATATATCACAATATTAACCCCTCCCAATTTCTATTTGGATTTGATTTACTGTTGTCAAATTTTTTTGCTCGTTTTTCTCTAGTGGGAACTGACTTGGTGGTAGTTTGGTAGGGTGAATTTTGCAATGTTTAAGACAGTCTTCTCTCAGCCAATATTTTCCTAGATGTGCTGAGATTTCAACATATAGACAAGGTTTAGAATTATTAAAGTTGAAATGAGATATATCTAGAGGCTTTCGGATTAGAGAGATGTTATCTCCTATAAATAACAACTCCCCTCTTAATTTTAACCATATTCTTCCACTGAAAGGATCAGCAAATAACTAAGAATCCAAACTATGGATGATGAGAAAATTGAATCAGAATGGATATTGAGAAAGCTTGGTGTCCAAAGCTCTACATTGGCTTCAAATTCATTTCTGGACAAAATACCAAGTGGTGGATGCTATGTTTAAAACCTATACAGCTTAGATCAAGGCTTTTTGAGAGGCTGTTTCTTTCTGTTGGTACCTGCAACCCTACTGAGATTTGCCTATAGTGATTGTGAACCCATTTAGTACAACTCAGGATTTTAAAATTCCTATTTTGTATAAGCTTTTAACTGCTGACTCAAATTTTAATTTTAATCATTCATTCTAACTTTTGTTTTAATTCTTTATTTTAAGAATTGTGATATTTCAGCTGTAACTCATTCTTTGGTTTGCTAAATGAGGACAGAATTCTTAAATCACAATTCCTCATTTTGTTTTGTAATTCATATTGTATCAGCTATTGATTGCTAGCAAGTCCCCTGCTTCTTGGCTGTGCCTAGCACCACAGCATATGCCTTCTAATGGGCTTTATACAGGACCTTATCAGATCTGGATCAGGCCTTTCTCTAACTGTGTACCTTTCTAAGTTTACATTGCTGCCTGACTATTCTACTTCACATGCTAATGGGCATTAAAAAAAAAAACAGCACCCAATTCTTGGAGATGAGACAAGATATTGCATTCTGAAGCTAAAAAATATTAGCTGGGAATTGCTTACGTCAGGAGATTCTGAAAGCAGAGGTTAAATTTAAGGGCAAAAATTACTTGGAAGCCCTTTTAGTCCAACCTGAACTTGCACTCTATGGTTGGGAAAGTGCTGTTATCCTCTTTATCAAGCCCCTGCAGTAAATGGAGCCCTATGGATGGGTGAGTAAAAGACCACAGAAGTTACACACACACATGAGAAAGAAAGCCTCTTACCTCTTCTGCCTCATTCTCATCTGCCTCGTTTCCCTGCTGCAACCTTAAACGCTTTTTAAATCCTTCTTTCTCTGGGCTATCAAAGAGAAGTGAATGTTATGTCAGTGCTTGTTTTGTTTTTAGGCCATTTCTTTTATTTTAAGATTTCAGCCTAAAAGGCAGAAGATCCACCATCAGAGTTGATATCATTGTTATCAAAAGAACATTGCTTTCATTTATATCAATAATGAAAAACGCCAACAGGACAGTTAGTCTAAATATTAATCTTTTTATAGATCTTGGCCAAGTCCCTTTACTTGACAATACCTTCACAAAGCCTTCAGCAAGACAGACCCATACGTACTTATGGTCTTTATACTACGTATACCAGTCTAGCAATAACAGCAGAAGCTCATTACAAGAGTGATGACAAGTGAGACAAGCAGAATGACAAGATACACCACAATACCTAAGTTATAAGGTAACCTAATTTATAAATATCAGTATGAGTACAATGTATGCATAATTACATGGGAGTGATGCCATAGGGCACAATGGTGTGTATTTCTTGTTGCAGAACACACTGAACTTCAGTAAAAGTTCTTCAGCCAGCTGAAACACAGCCTATAATGTTTTAATTAGAGATTCAAATATATTTGATTAATAAATTAGCATTTAAATTGCTACTCTACGGATCTAAGAAACAGAAAAAAATGTAGTATCAAAACTCTGTTTGATTTTTTTCCCATCACTGCTTTCTTATACTAAGGAGGAACAAATGATAAGATAGCTCAAACCCTTATAAATACACAATTCAGGACCCAGAATAAGAAATCCTGCCAATCACCATGGCCCTACATTTTATCATTTTAATTGAAATAAGTCCCAAAGCAGGGATCTCTAGCAATTTTCTTTGCTGCATCACTGATTTGTGTGTCTGTATGTCCATGCCCAAGTTAGTCTTAACTTCTGGCAATTGCCTGGATAAATCCACATAGCTTTCTTGGCAAGATTTTCTGAGGTAGTTTGCTGTTGTCTTATTTCTAGGGCTGAGAGTGACAGACCCAAAGTTACCCTGTTTAGTCATGCCCAAGGAGGAATTATAGCTCACAGACTCTATCCCAGTCCTTTTAAACGCTACACCACCACATTCATTCCTCTGATTGCATTTTTTTTATTTAATAAATTTATATAGCCACCCAACTCATACATTGGTGACTCTGGGTAGATGCAGTTTTCAATAATGGTTGCTGAGATGCAAGAATTGGTACAGAATAGGAAGGACGGAGAGAGAGAGAGAGCGGATGAGCCATCCCTAGGCACTGTTATAAAGAGTGTGGCACTTATGAAATGGAAAATATGGTGTACCTTTTTCTTCGCAGTTTTGTCTCCTTCTTCAGCCTCTCAACATCTTGCTTGGCCCACTGTAGAACGTCAGTGGCTTCAGCTTCCACCGAGGGGGCAGGGGAACGTGAATCTCCCAATCCAATCCCTGGTGATAAGCCCAGGGAATAGGGCAGCCTGGTTGAAACCCGGTTTAGATTGCGGCGTAGTGATTCATTCATAGCTTCACTCTCTAAGAGTTTTGTCCTACAAAGGAGACACACGTAGACACACACACACACAAAACCACATCATCTACCTAATTAGATACAAACTTCTTTGAAGTTCTCTGGTAGGGATAATTTATTTGCCCAAGAAGCATGAAAGAACACAATTAATACCTTATTTTAATGACATAATTTCCTGATATTCTAAGTTCAAAAGATTACTATATTACATATGATCCAAAATATGCCCCTCCATAAATTCATTTATATAGCAGAAAACTCAAAAATAAAAAAAAATAAAAGGATAAAATAAAATATTAAACGTTCATCCTACTCAGATTCTCAAGATCATAGAAAACAGGCTGCATTGCATAAATTGTCTAATGATATCAAGGACTGATTCAAACATCAACGAATTATCTCTCATAAGAATTCAGCAGTGATCAAAATGTAGCATGATTCCTTTTTTCTGTACAATGTTTTCAAGTGTAAATACAAGTTTCAAGATGTCCTACAACATAACCTCAGGCACCCGAAAATTTAAACTTTTGGAGTTCTGCAAATGAGGAAGATTTAATCTTATCTATCAGTTAAAAAATTGGCAATTGTGCCTTTGTGCTAGATGTATATTTATAGGAACTGTCAATGTTAAACATTTATTTTGTATTGTCTTACTCCATCTATATCCTTCTATACAAATGTAGTAGTTCTGCCTGTCTTGCACCTGCATGCCTGGATGACACTGACATCTGGTTATTGTGAATTTATGAAATTATGGCTGTTCCAATTGTATGTTCCTGCATTTATGCCTGCTGTCCTTGCTGCATCTTTTGGGCATGTACAACCTGCTGCTTTTTTGTGCTGGTGCCATTTTGGGTACCACCAAAACAAATGTAAAACTCAGACTATAAGCTTTGTGTAGTGTGAAGAAATTCTTAGGCATTTTAATCTACACTTTCTGTAACTTCTGAGAAATTAGTAATTTCTATGTGTTTTAACTTTTCTTCTATACCAGAACTTTTCCTCTCCCAAATCTGAATATGGCTTCTAGCTCCCACCCACCCACCCAAAAAACCTGAACATAAATGAAAAAGCTTCTATTTACCTGAGATCTTCAATTTCCCTGATGTAGTTCTGTATCAGAGCACCAATAGCCTCATTACCATCACCTGGAAAAAAGGTACAAATAAGAAAAAAAAACATCAACAAAAACAACTTTTAAAACTGAAGTAATCCAGTTAAGAGAAAAAGCTAGGTAAAAATATCCTAAGAAAATGTAATAAATCTTCTCGATTACTAGGAATGCTACGTATAGGCAACGATCCTAAAATCAAATATATAACAATAATCATTTAGTTAACTTATTTTAATATGGAGGAAAAATACTAGTGAGGCTCCCATCAATCCAGAATTTCACCCAATCAGAATCCCTCATCAGGTTTTTGTAGATAAAATTGGGTTGATTCTCTACCTAACAAATATGTTCCACAGTTTTTGTTAGTTTGTTTTGTAGTAACAGCATTTGGGAGAGGCAAAAAAAGAAAGAAAGAGGGGGATCTCTTTGTCAGACCACATATCTCTATTGTAGGCGAACAACAAAAAAAGGAATTATTCAGAAGTAACTCTACATATTGTTCTTGCTTCTTTGGGCTGTCAGTCTGCCTTCTAACTCTGAATACCCAGATGATGATGATGATGGAGGAGTAGGGGGGAGGGGGAAGAGTTTTATGAGTCTTTTTTGATTATTTATGTTATCTGGGCTTCCTCTAGCATGTTTTATTATATTTTATTCTTTGATGACTGTTATTTGTTGTTTTTAATTGTGTACTCTGCCCTGAGTTTCAGGTTGTGTATGTAGCTCTATAAACTGAATAAATAAATGCTTCTGAAGTAGCTGTTATTCCAAAAGCAATGAACCCAGATTAAGCACATTTGTCTCAATATATAAGTGATGTCACATGTAATCTGTTCCTTAGTGAAGGAACTCTGTAAATTCAAAGGTTCCACTGTTGCTGAAGAAGTCTACAGAGTTCACTCTATGCTGGCTCTCACAGTCTCACCTGCCTTGGCAAGAATCAGGTTGGCTTCCTGGCTCATCAAATGGGTGACACGGATGTTGATTGCATCAATGGCCTCCTGCATGGCTTTCACCCGCATACGTAAAGTGGCGTTTTCCTTCTGCAACATGGCGTTCTCCTGGTACAGATCACTGTAGCCTTCAGAGCCATCTTCTCCAATAACACGCTTACCCTTTGAGGTGGGGAGAAAACAGTGAGGAAGGTTGAAATAAACAAAAAGCTGTCAGTTGGTTATTCTGTGAGAGTAGAAGTTATAGAGCAAAACTTTATCATATTCTGGTACTGAGGTATTTATTCTCATGCATGTTGAAGTAGGGTGCCTTTCATATATATCCTTTTGAACAGACAATAGATTATAGAAGTAGTAGACAAGATGTATGTCTCTTTTGTATTTTTAGTTTTTGACTATATGAAATCTGCACAGGAGATTATATACATAACATTAAAACAAAATACAACATAAATAAATCTACATATAAGCATCATAAGCGTTTGCCAGAACTTGAAAAACAGGGTAATCGTTGACTGTAACTCAGAATATATTTGTTTTTACAAGTAGTCCTCAAGTTACAACAATTTATTTAGTGACTGATCAAAGTTACAATGGCACTGAAAAAAGTGACTTAGGACTATTTTTGACACTTAGGACCATTGCAAGATCCCTGTGGTCATGTGATCAAAATTCAGATGGTTGGCAACTGATTCATATTTATGACGGTTACAGTATCCCAGGGTCATGTGATTAGCCTTTGTAACTGTCAAGGCTCCATCAAACCAACCCGATTCAAATCATAAGTCTGTACCACATCACACAGAGTAGAAAAAAAATGATTTATTAGGAGTGACCAAGTCGGCATTACCTAGGTGCAGCCGACTCTAAGACACATCATTCATTTCACCCTTGACCTGGTCTTCCCCCCACCCCCTGGAAGTATATTCTCCAATGGGACACATCCATAGCCAAGAGTCGTCAATCATGCTCTCCAGTAATAATCTTGCACGCCAACAGCTTTGGCTGCCTAGCAATTATCTGAAACATTTAAGGAATACACTACTTTCCCCACTCCCTTTCTGCTGGCAACTAAAAATACCAAAGAAATATTTTTAGTTGACAGTAACCTTCTGACAAGTCAAGTCAATGGGGAAGCCAGATTCACTTAATAACCATGTAACAACTGCTGTGATTCACTTAACAATTTAACAACTGTGACAAGAAATGTTGTAAAATGGGGAAAAATGTCTCACTTAGCAACAGAAATGTTGGACTCAATTGTGGTCTTAAGTCGAGGACTACCTGCACTATCTTTCTAAATAGCTAGATCTGGTAAACTGAAGAACAGACATTGTGAAGCTGCCTCAACTCAAAAACACCTCTGTTTTAAAGTGTTATCTTGATGTGAAAAAGTTAGCTAAACCTCCAACCAACAGCCTTGGGCTGCTCTCCTTTGCTCTGCAGAAACATCTTTGGTGCATGCGAGTGTGCAGAAAAGATTTAAGGCCAGTGAAGTCACCAAGACGATAAAACTTAGAAGCAATGTGCAGAGGGTACAAGTGGGGCTTCATTTAACTTCTTGGAGATACATCAAAAGGGTGCTTTATTATTTGAACCTCAATCAAAGCAAAGCTCTCCTCTGACACTTCATAAAGCCCACTTCTTAGTTACATGGCAGAGCAGAGCTGATACAATTCCTTCATTGTTACAGTTAGCAATTCACTAGGAACGCAGGATATTCAGTGACCTAGTTCACAAATAACACAATGGCATAATACAATCTGGTTTGGATTTAGCAATGATTCATTGGCAAAAAAAAGACTTGATCAACATGGTTAAAAAAATCTTAAGTATTATGTGCAAACACCATCAATGAGTTTGGAGGAATACATTAGTACACTTTTGAATATTCACATATTTAGTGAAAATACAGGAGTAGCCTTTTAAGTCCCATCTTTTAAATTCCCAATTCCATGAAAATATTTGGAGAGAGCAGAGAGATTGTTTAGCAGGTGAGAGAATTTGGAATGTACTTTCAGCTCTGCTCTTATTGGCCAGGGGATATTCTAATCCTGAACTTCAAACATTATCTTCCTCCATGAACCATGCCCTTGACTTATCTATTTACACCAAGAGGGGAATGTACTCCAATTAGGCCACATGTAAGTTTCACTCCTCACAAATGCAAGTATTTCACCCTGGGATCTCTTAAAAAGAGAGGCGGGGAGAGAAATGAAGTCAACTCTGGCTATTTCTGGGTTCACTAGTTGCATTATAGGTCATCAATATATACATTTTGAAGAGAGGTCAGAAACACTTCTGACTGTTCACATATAATGATTCCATTGCAGAAGGGGAAATGCTAAAAAAAGAGTGAAACAGAGCTCACATAAAAATTGGCTTGGGGTTTTTCGAAGCAGTATTTAAGTAGGATTATATAAAACATCGAAGACTCAAAAGCATATTGAAATCACCAGAAATATTTCTAATATAGAAGTCTGTATTTGATTTAGGAATAAACACTAATTTCCAAGTAACAAGCAGTTGCTCATGGCTTCTACTTACTGCCTTATATTCCATAAGTTCCATCTGGAGACGAGCAATTTCAGCTCTCAGGGCACTGATCTGCTGGCTGGTCTTGTCCTGATTCACCACCACTTTGTTCTTGATGTTGCGAGCACGGTTGGCATATTTAAGGGTATTCAGGGTCTCCATAAAATCCCGATCTGAAGGACTCACACAGGCAATCATCACAGTTTGGCTATAAAAAAGGAGAATAGAAAGACTCAAAAAAAAAAAAAAAAAAACCCTTCACTGTAGTGTCAGTTGTGCCCAAATAGGAATAACAAAGCAATTTGTCAAAGCATTTTTAATATTGACTTCTTTCAAACATGTTTATCTGGGAATGCAGCTCAACAAGCATATGCTCCAAACTATGTATATAGGATGAAGATCTGCATGTAAGGACCCCACATAATTCTGAAAAACATAGCTCTTCTAGATTATCGGTGAATTATTAAACCATCTGCTTAATCATGAATACGAAGCAGGGGATTTCAGATCCAAGGTAGTCTTTGACATATGACCACAATTAAGCTCAAAATTTATGTTGCTAAGCAAGAGTGTTGTTAAATGAGTTTTACCCCATTTTATGACATTTCTTGCCACAGTTGTTAAGTGAATCACTGCAGTTGTTAACTTAGTAATAATGGTTGTTAAGTGAATCTGATTTCCCTATCAACTTTGCAACTGTCATAAATATGAATCAGTTACTAAACGTCTGAATGTTGATTACTTGACCATGGGGATATTGCAAGGGTCATAAGTGTGAAAACTGTCCTAAGTCAGTTTTTTCAGTGCCATTGTAGCTTTGAGTGAGTCAAGGACTATTTTATAGATTACAAAAATTTGTTGTGAGAAGATTCTGTTGCCAAAATTTGGATTCATTCTTTCAAACACCTCTGGTGACCTCCTCCTGACTTCTGTGGCCATACGTGAGCAGTCTTTTTATCAGAAATTCTCAACGGCAGCAACCCCATATCAATGCTTATGTGGACTTCTGATCTGGCATAAGGTGCTCTATTAATATTTATTTCCATTTACCTATTTCCACCAAGTGAATCTTGGAGAAGCCGGGTCAATTTTGAATCTCGGTAGGGCACGTGCAATGCTTTCTTGCTCTGATCCCCAAGGGCACTGATGACGTTTCCTAATGCTAGCTGTCAGAAAAATAGAAAAGTCAGTAATTAAATTGCCTTCGTTTCCTATTGCCTTTATTTTGGAACTGTTACTCCATAAATTTTTCTCAGATAACCATCAGAACTCCAGACTATTATCCTCCTTCCATTCCCTGCTTATTAGATAAAAACACACTTTGGCTGGGAAGTGGATTCTCCCCACTTAAAGGAAGATCAGACTGATAAAATGACATCATTTTTCCATTACAGGAATGTGATATATGATTTTTTTTTAAAAAGGCAGCTAGACTAGTTACCCACCTTCATTGAACTACATAAAGCCACCTTTTTATTTATGAAACACACATCAATTCAAAGATTCTCTTCTAATTAAAAATTCCCAATCCTCACAATTACAGGGAAACTGTATTTGGTAAAAACCATGGCTCAAAAAAATAGGTCAAATATTTATGTTTTATATATGACTTCCAGTGGACTTCTGGTTTTTTCTTGATTCTTTTACCTCCAGAAGGATCCTGAGCATTACTACTTTAATCTTTTATGTGCCATTTCCCTTTTGTTATTTAATTCTTTCACTGTTTTGCAAGATAACACCTAACTTACAAGGTCATGGTCAAATAATACTGCTTGATTCTATATATATATACATCACAAAAAATTGCAACAAGTATATTATATGATGCCTGTTTCAAAAAGTCAATGTCACATTCATATTTTCAAATATACCCTGCAGCTGTGTTAGGATTTGACATGAAAAAGAAATGCATGATGCAGCCCTTTAACTAAATGTCAAAGCTACTGATTGATAACAGAAATTAGTCAAACTTTCATATTTTTGAAAAGACCAAATTATTCTTTTGCAGCTATTCCAGTAAATGGAACTCTGCCCTCCAGAAGCAATACACAATACATTACATAGGCAATTACCTTTTGTGAAACCTGCATGTTATCAACAGCTCAATTCTTAATCAATATGTCCAAACTCATTTTTGTGGAGGACCTTAAACTACTGAGGGAACTTCCACATGAAAACTTTACACTACTCTTGAATAGTTTCAACGCCTGCACAGTCATGCTCCAGAGTCTTGTTTGAGCAGCATAGCTGATTGGTTTCTGGCTCATCTAGAGGGTAAAACGAGTTACTGCAATATTAGCTTCATACCATAGACTTCAGAGTTTAGGAGTGGGCAACCTCATCCTAGCTCCTTGACTCTTCCCTCCATATAGCCAATAACTTGAAATGACTCCTCAATATTTCAGCGATTAAGAAAATGTGTCACTTTGCTCTTTGCCCTCCTTCCTGTTTTTTGTTTTTTTTTAATAACTCAGAATGAAGTAAGAATGAGAGGCAGGGTGCTGGCTGAACATGTTTGTGCTAATTTTTTGCCCACTGGATAGAGCACTAGTGAGCATTTCTAGTGTTCTTTATATTCTGAGATGACTGTAAAGAGGGTTCTTTTCAAAATGATTGTGAGAGTCTGTGGAGCAAAGTTTGTGGCTGTGCAAGAGAGTGCCCTGAATCACAAGACGCTGGACTGAATATTAAGGGGCCTATCCAGGGGTGGGATTCAAAATTTGTAACAACTGGTTCTGTGGGCGTGGCTTAGTTGGTAGGCGTGGTTTGGTGGTCATGTGACTAGGTGGACATGGCTTGGTGGTCATGTTATTGGCTGGGCGTGGCCAACTCAATATCACTCACATCGAGGCACGCATCTCCTTGCCTGGCCTCTCATGACTGTGGGGATGCTGCAGCAGTCGTAAGTGTGAAAAATGGTCCTAAGACACTTTTTTCAGTGCCATTGTTAACTTTGAATGGTCACTCCACACAAGCAAAGTACCAGCAAAGGAGGGGGAAAAAACTCCAGAGAAGTTCCTGAGACAGGAAGTCTAGTCCTGCCAAGAATGTAATAAGGGTTAACGGAGAGGCAGTTTCTGTAAGCAACACCAGAATGTTTCCTTCCTGCCTTCCTTACAGGATTAGGCCAGTAATTTCTTCTAACAACCGGTTCTCCGAACTGCTTAGAATGTTAACAACCGGTTCTTGCAAATAGGTGCGAACTGGTAGAATCCCACCCCTGGGCCTATCTTCCTCACCACCCATTTGTTGTTTATATCCCACCATTCTATCCAAGCAAAAATGCTCTATCTCACCAATAGAGATTCAGCAACAGAAAATAATAAAATAAAACATCATTAAACTACAACCAAAATTCAGTCTTAAAAGTAATCCACCATACCAAACCACAATTGATAGAGATGCCTTCTTTAGCTCTCTCGCCTGTGGCCCCAGTTCGTTTCAATCTCTCTGAGCCAGCCAGATCAACAAAGTGGAATTTGGCGGTTCGGGTCTCATATTCACTAGTAGGCTGGGATCCATCCAGAAGACCATTTGTGTCTCCATTCACCTGTAATAAGAACAAGTCCCAGAATTAGGTTACATGATATAATTTGCTAGTACCTGTACCACATAAAATATCAATTATAGTTATATTGTGATAAAACCCAAAATGAAAAATTAACTTGCTGCTGGCATGAGAAGCCACACTTTCTCTTCTGAGATAATGACGCTGATCCAAGCTCCCAACTTCTCAATCACTACTTCCACTCAAAGTTCTTGCTGCATCTCTAATTCTTACACTACATCTCTGCCACCAAAAATTCCATCCTTTCCATTTGATAGCAAAGGGGCAAGAGACGTGATCCTGTCTGATCTAGCTTACCCTCTCCTTATGGCCTTACCAAGTGTACAGGAGAGCAGACACGCATTTGGCAAAGGTAGATTGTAAAGATAGCATGGGAGCGGGAACTTTGGACATTCATCTGGGTGCTGGCTGTGGTTCGGGAGAGAGCTCCCTGTTTCAGGCACTGGATCAGCTGCAATGGGATAAAGGATATACTGTCAGACCAGGTGCAAGCCCCATTCACACACACACACACACACACACACACACACACACACACACGTGTAAAGGAAAAATACTATTCCATCTTGCTTAAATAATGTCCATAAAACCAAAGAACTGATTATGGACTTCAGGAGACATGGACAGGACCACGCCCCACTCATCATCAACGGAGAACAAGTGGAAACTGTCCCTACGATCAGATTCCTTGGCATCCATATTTCAGTGGAAACTGTCCCTACGATCAGATTCCTTGGCATCCATATTTCAGCTGATATCTCCTGGTCCCCTAACACCAAGGCCATAGTAAAGAAGGCTCAGCAGCGGCTGCACTTCCTGCAGGTTCTTAGGAAGAACAATCTGGATAAGAAGCTGTTGCTGGCTTTCTATAAAGCCTCTGTGGAGAGCACTCTGACATATTGTCTGGGTGTATGGTATGCAGGCTCCACAGCTGAGGACAGGAAAACTGTACAGAGGGTGATAAACACAGCTCAAAAGATCATTGGTTGCCCTCTGCCCTCCCTGGAAGACTTAGCCAGGACCTGCTGCCAAAGCAGAATCAAAGCCATTATAGAAGACCCCTCACACCCTGGCAATTATCTTTTTGACCTGCTGCCGCGTTTTAGGTCAATAAAATCCCACACCACTAGACTAACAAATAGTTTCTTTCCCTGGGCCATCCGAACCACAAATAAACATGAAGTCACTACCTCATTAAGATGTGAAAAGATGTGAAATCTCAATACCCCATTCAGATGTATAACAACATATTACAGTACAATCCATCTCTTGTGTATTATACTCGGCTAAGCGTTACAGTCAGTGTTGGATGTATATTTTGTGTATATTTGTAGATATTGTACTCTCAAATTGCAAATGGAGACGTGGGTACTCTTATCTTCATTTTTAAGTGCTTTGGTTTTATTGTATTGAAAACAGTTGCTGGGGTGCATTCTCAGTTTCGTTGTACTTGTACAATTACAATAAAGTTCTTCTAATTCTAAGCTGCTATACTATCTTTTAAAACATGGCAAAAATCTTCCCCTACATGCCACAAGACAGTAATAATACAACCTGAACTAGATGTTACATGCAGGTAAATCTTTCTCTGAGCTAAAAGGGGTTTCCAAGTGAAGAGTGATCAAGGAGAAAGTGGGCGCTTTAGAAAATAGCTTGACCCTCTCCTCTCTGTGGCAGCCTCTCAAATTTGGCGGCTGCTGCACACTGCTGGCTCATATTTAGCTGGTTGTCCACTAAGACTCCAAGATCCCTCTCACAGTTACTGCTATTGAGCCTGATTTCACCCAGTCCATATGTGTACTTTTGGTTTTTCTTGCCTAAGTGTAGGACTTTACTTTTCTCTACACTGAATTTCACTTTGTTAGATACCGCCCAGTGTTCTAGTCTGTCAAGATCCATCTGGATCTTGAGCCTATCTTCTTGGGTGTTAGCTATTCATGCCAGCTGAAATATTTGAAAATGTTGAAAAATTAAGATTCAATGCATATGTATTTATGCATATAATTAAGCTGCTTTAAAATTTCTGCTTTCTGTTATTCAATAATGATATTCTTTTGATTCAAAATATTAGGAAATGCCATTCAAGGATCTAAAACAAACCCACCACTCCTTGCAATTCAGTATGCTGAAAAAGATCGTACACTGGGAGAACTATCATTATTTGAAGGAAAGAAGGAAGGATCTGTATGTATAAATTCAATGCCAGTTTTTCTCATCCTGATGCTTTTCAGATATGTTGAATTTCTCCAGACAATGAGGGAACAGAAATCCAATAAAGCAATAGTGCATCAGGTTGGCAAAGATACAGTTGTGCATGGCAGCTGTACAGTGTCTTTTAGAAGAACAACACTCAAGAACAGGAATTTGGCTTTGTTAATATGGTTTTGGCTATGAAAGAATATTTGGCATGATTTGATTCATTTTATGCTTAATAAGCGTTTTGTGAGTTCTTAAGAGGCTTTGAATAATGGTGTGGATTTTTGTCTTAATGTTGAGAAACCACTTCTTGGTTTGTTTTATATTTACCACAAAAATATATAGATGATTCTTCACATAAATTCCCAGGATAGGAATGTATGTTAAAGTAATGAAATAAAAATAAAACAATTTCCCAGCTGCTGCTCTGTCTGTAAGAGGAAAGATTTATGGGGCCTCTATCATTTAACTACATATGGGGAATAATCAGAGGGACAAAGTGTAAGCAGACCCTTTCCGATCCCACCCTCTTCAGTTTCTATTGTAGCTTCCAAGGCTTGTTATCTGTTAAAACTAAGAAATATTTCCAACCAATCAAAATATACACAGTATCAGCTAGTTTCTAGTTGTTAGAACATAATAAGAGTAACAATTTGAGCTGCAAAAAGTAAAAATGGAAATGCGAGGAAAGCTAAAGATGATGTTTCACATTATGAGAAGCAAAATGAAGAGAGATTTTTCATAGTTGAAAAAATGGATTCTGTTATGGGTACATCCAAATAATGAATGGCAATTGGAATCTGAATAGAATGTTGGCATGTTAACAACTCTAGTGAACTCAGAATGCAACCAAGCTAAAGTTTGAAACACAGTTGAAGAATTCTAATCTCAAAATCCCACGTATACACAAAATCAGTTACTGCAGTCCAATTAAAGCTTGGTTTTCATAATCTAACCACTTTGTTGCAAAGATAGGAAAGTTGAATTTGCTACCTCAGTCTTTAGATATATTTTATAGGTGAAACTGACTAAGTAATAACATCTTATCTGGACTTAGAAGATAAGCTTGATTGGATGGATGAGAAAGTACTGAACAATACCAGGATTGTAGGCTAGATGGGGAAGTTGAAAAACATATGGGAATAAAATTAATGGCAAATCATTTCTATTCAGTACTTTTGTTCAGAAAACTACCCATCTGTCCAACTTTACTCGAGTTCACTTTTATCTACTTTATCTGCTAGGTAAAGTGAAGAGAATGTAACCTCTTTTAACGTCTGTGAACATGGAATCAGAAACTAATAACTGCTCCAGTAAGATGAAACACAAGAGAAAGAGTTTATGTGCACAAAAATTAAATCACTTACCTCATCCTGCGAGCTAATGAGACGTGATGTAACACCTGTGGTATAGATACCACCACTGGTATCTTCATGGATTTTGATATTTGATTTTCGGTGGCGATTCTCAGGGTCTCTTGTGCTATCAAAAAGATCCAGGATCTCCTCATTATATAGCTGAAAAATGAAACAGAAAAACAAACTACTAGTTAACATATTGTTTTGCTTTTTAAACTGCTCCACAACAAACCAAAATGGCAAAATTTTAGATAAATAAATGTTTGAAGATCAAAGCTTAGTATTTTATTTTGGCAGAAAGTGTCAAACTACTACATGTCAAAAAGCCTATAAAAGAAATAGCAAGTTTAAAATTCTGTAATTGTTACAGATAGTGTGAAATTATTCATCTCCTTTGGTTTTAAGATTTGGTGCTCTTTATAAGGAGAGAATTTCATTATTGGGATAAACCTAAAGGAGTTGTTCTAGAAGTAAAAATATAGAGAGGCACTAAATGAAATATATCCTTCCCCTAAATTCTGAACACTAAGACAAATGTTCTGCCTATTACATTTGCAGCAGCCAAAAGCGGGTAAGTAAATAATACAATTTATTTGTGTGGCAATCCTGAGATCTCAACAGTGTTTCAATAGTAAGGAGATCTGAGGGCTATAAGAAGAGTTGTTTGTATTTTGCATTTTTTTACAATTATTGTCAAGAATTTCTCTTCTGTTCACAGGTTATTTATTGCATACAAGATATATATATAAGAATGATAAAGATAAGGCCTTCTTCAAGTCAAGATTGAGTTCTGGTGGCTTCCTGACCACCATACAGTTTTATTGGCAATAATACAGAAATTGTTTACTGTGGGATTTCTTTTTAACTTCTTACTCTAGCATACTGGCATCATATTCCCTGGAAGCCTCCTATCCAAATATCAACCATTAATATTTCACTAGGTTGATTAGTTAAAAGCTGCCACTTGTTGAGACTATACAGGAATAACTTGTACCTGAACTGAAATAATATCACTGTTCACTATTTATCTTCAGACACTGAAATAGAGAAATTCCACCCCACCTTCCAGTCCAAGTTGCCTTATCAGTGAGTTTCTAAAAACACTCTTATGTCAAGACTCACTCTCTTCAATACCAATATACTTACCTCCAAAAACTGTGCACTGACTTTGAACTCTGGGATGGGGACCCCCTGGTCTTGTGCAGCCTGCTTACGTGCTTGTATGCCATTGAAGAGATGGGCGATGGCCCGTGGAATTATGCCCTCCTCCTCGTCAGAAGTATTCATGTCAAAACCAGTGCCCATGGTATAAGTCTTGCCTGCACCTGTCTAAAAGATAGTAGAAGTATTTCATGGAACTGTCACATGGCAAAATAGGTAAGAAAGTCTGTTCTGTTGCTCTTTCAAGCAAACACAGAATATCACTATCAAATTTACTCTTTGCCTTGTTTTTTTAAATTCTAGTTCATGCCGCATCTTTTTACGTATTTGTCATAGTTTTTTCATTAGCTAAAGTGACTCCACATTATACTGTATCTCTTGTGTAACATAAAAACATAACATTGCCCTGGAGAGAAGGGAAATATGAATTTCTAAAATGAAAAGCCATTTAATGTCACAAGCTAATTTGCAAGCTTGTCAACGGCTGCCATTTTTAATCAACATTAATTTACCATGTATTATTCTGGCAACCAATTAATTCATTTCAAATTCTCTCCCATCCTTTCCCAAGGGCTGGTGAGAACCAGTGTGAAGTCATGGCTTGAAATGTGAGAAAACTAATTTCAAACCCTCATATGCTCATTAGGTTGCTTTTAGATGCTATTACTGCACTCAGCCTCATTTGGCTTATAAGGCTCTACGAAAACTGAAGCATTGGTAAAAAGTCCCTTGGAAAAAAATATGATTAAAAACAAGGCTCAGCCAATAGAATATCCACAATAGGATATGAAATTAGTATTAGAAACTATGAGAAATGAAGAAAGAATACAAATAGGTAAAAACAGAATATTAGTCCCAAAAGTATGCTTCATTCTAGTCATAAAAAAGATGAGCTAAGCAAATGTTATGATATATCCAGAAAAATTTCGATGCACTATGATTGTCAGCCTTGGAAGCCGTTTTTTACTTGGAAGCTTCGAGGCTGCCACATTTAGTGCCTGGGAATTTGGGAGGGGGGATTTCATGGTGAGGTAGAAGATTAGACACAACAACATTCTTTCTCAGAGAGTCAAGGACATGTCACCCTGCACCTGAAGGGGATTGACTGGAGGGATGTCTCCAGTTGGGACGAAGATTTAAATGGCCCATGTGATGGACTAATGGATGCAGGGGATGGATCTTTGTTTTTCTTTTAGGAAGGAAAAACCCAGAATTCTCAGATTCAAGTTCTCCCAGATGTGCCAATATAACAACTCTGATAAAATGGAACTTTGAAGAAATGTCGGTCTGTGTACTAACTGTATATTACCAGATGGATGATGCCAACAAAATACTCTTTTGATCAAAAATTCTTTTATTGACTTGAGGACTGGATATATATCTGAAGAGATCTTTTCGATATATAGCTAAACACCTCATCCTTAAGTCTATTCGCCCCGTGAAATTTGACTGTTCCTTACTCTACAGAGCTAACTGCGAATCCACTGCAGCATGTTTTTTGTAAGTTTTAAATAAGGAAAGATATACCGTATTTATCGGCGTATAACACGCACAGGCGTATAACACGCATCTTCATTTTAAGAGGGAAATTTCAGGAAAGCGCCCGTTTCACCCCCACTCCCACCCCCCGCGCGCGCTTCAATCCACAGTGTCCCATTCTGCCTGCCTGCCTGCCTGCCTTAGTTTCTGGTTGTTTGGGAGCAGCTTCGGCTGAGAATAATAACTATTCGCCTCTTTTACTCAGCCGAAGCTGTTCCGATTCAACCATTAACGAAGGCAGGCAGGCAGGCAGAACGGAGCACTGCGGGCGGGCGGGCGGGCGGGCGGGGTGAAGCAGTTTCTTCCTGTGCTGGTGGAGGAGCGAGAGAGCGACTGACAGAGCTGACCCAGAGAGAAGGACAGGCTTCGGTTGCTTCCTCCCTCCCCTTCTTTCATTTGTGTCCTTGATCCCCGATCCCAGCAGCATTCACCGAAGGCTTCTTAACATTATATCGGCGTATAACACGCATACATCATTTGCCCCCTATTTTCAGGGGGGAAAAAGTGCGTGTTATACGCCGATAAATACGGTATTTGCTTTCTACTCTGGTATTTACTCTGTATCTTTTCCCTAATTCTAAAGACCAATTTTCATCATTATTTCCAATGCCCCGAATAATTTTTCCATATAATTATTGGTACAGGAGTATTTAGTTCCATTATTTATACCAATCGTGGATAGCTTTAATGATCTTTAAATTTTTCATTTCTTAAAACTGCCCCTTCAAAATAAGCAATCTCAATCCTTCCTCATTTTACTTTATGGCAAGGCCACTTCATACTTAAGTAAGAGTTACTGTTACCCCTTATACAGCTTCCCCCAGAAGAACTGCTAAATAGGAAGACAAAAGGTCCCACATTGTATAAAAAGTGCCTATTTTATTACATACACACACACATATAATTAAATACTAAATTTCAAATAAAACTATAGTATCTCTCCCTCTAGTGAAAAAGTCTAAAATTTAAGGGGTTGTCATACTCTTTTCTGATGGGCTTTATTATCTTTAAACTTAACTTAATTGGAGAAGCCCTCAAATAGAGAATGATTTCTCATGAAATATAGTACTCTAGTCGACATAAAGCAGGAAACATGGTCACTTTAACCAAGCCAATCCATTCAGATAAGATCATAACAGAAACTGTGAGGAGAGTGAAAAAGGCACACACCTGGCCGTATGCCAACACAGTTGCATTGTAGCCTTCAAAGCAGCCCTCAATCAGCTTGCTTACACAAGTTGTATAGATCTGTTCCTGCCAAGTGTCCAGGTCAAAGACAAAGTCATAGGTAAATGCTTTGTCCTTTCCTAGGAGTACTTGGGGTTCTCCAGGTGTTACTGATGTGCAGATGTGGCATCCTTCAATCTTTTCCTTTGGCATCTGAGGACGAATCCTGCAAAAAATAAATGGGTGGGGAGAGCATCTCTTTTAAGGAATTATACAAGTAAAGTACTAGAGAATATGAAGGGATAATACATCAGACAGCTTTTCTAGGGCACCAGTAGTACAACCATAGAAATCCTCATGAAGTTGCAAAATCTGTATGTTTAATTAATCAATCAAACATTTATTGTCAATGCACAACATGTATACAATAAAATTGAAAATTAAATAAGTATAAGATCTTTCATATTATCTGGGTATAATAGAATCATGAATTTGGGAAAACCAACATCACTGCAGTGTTACAAGTACTTATAAATGCCTGGTAGCATTAGATTCCATAGTCTGGAAGTATGTAGATTTACCTACAAGTGACAGATTAAATATAATCAGACAGATATGGGCTGGGAGGGGTTACTGTTAACTGAAAGGCCAAGAAATACAGGATTTTTATCTTTCTATTATTAAGTTGAACCCAGCAAGTAATGTGTCACTGCAGTTAACTGCAATGAGAAAAAGCAGAATAAGCTATTTCTGCATCAAGATCCCTTGAGGAAAAAGACAAAGGTGCAATTCAGACAAATCACCCATTAGTGGAATTATGCAGATAATGTAAAGGATATACCAGAGAATCTGAGACTAGCATTTTGATATACATGCAGGTGGGGGCAAACCTTCCCTCCAGCAAAAAAGGCTCTTCTAGAACCCACGAACCAAAACACCTTGTCCTATACAAAGTCCATAGCTCCTCCTGTTGAATCAAATGGAGTAGGCTAATCCCATTGCAGAGACATAATTCGCCATAAAACCTGTCCCCATGCCACAAAGGCCTTTAAAGTGATAATCAATACCTTGAATTAGACCTGGAAGTAAACCAACAACTAGTGCAGTTCACACATTATACAACACATGCCATCTTAGGGGCAGTTAGAATGGTCCACACTGTAGAACTCTCTCAGGTTTAATATTTGAAACAAAGCATTTGAAACTCAAATGTGCTTCTAAATTTTAACACTCATGTTAGGATTCAGAGAAGCATAAGGCCAGAAGTTATACAAATATTTATCTATATAGTTGACTTAAAATAACAATGAGTCCTTGCTATTTGTTGCTTTGTATTTTTTTTCACTGCCTAATCTCCAATAACTGTTTAAAGCTGCTGATATTATCAATTCATTTCCTCTGTTTAGATTAGCATTTTCTTTCTTTGTAATTTTTATAATTTTACCAATGGACAAAAATCTTAGGGTCTTTTGGGCAAAATTAGATTTCATTTTTTTTTTCACTAACACATTCTGTCTTTACAGTAAGACCTCATTATATATCTGCAACAGAAACATGTTAATTGCATCTTTCTGCAATTAAATGTTATTTGCCTGTTATTTATTTATTCTTTTCAAAGTCAGGGTCATAGAACTCAAGCCAATCAAGTTGATGCTTTAGAGTTAGATTTGTTTTGCATCTGGAAGTAGTACAGTAAGAGCAAATGTGATAACATAAGTACATACAGCATTTGGAGTACTAACAAATATCCTGTGCAAAAATCTCAAAACCATAGCTTCGGTGATCATTCTGTTTGCAAAAGTTCTTCAGAATTCTAATAGGCAATTAAATAAGCAGGGAAAACATCATAAGTTTGGGGTTTGCTGCTAAATTCATATCTATTGTACCATGGGCACTACAATGCTAAGACAACAATAAGACAAATTGTAATGGATACAGATTTTCAAAAACAAAACAAAAAAAGGCGCAAGGACCCCCTCTAATTGCTACTCTATCAACCTGGGAAAAAGCTATCACCCTTTCAACTCTCCATGTAACTTAATAGTCGCAAATCAGAGCAGGATTGCAATGCAATGCTCATTTCTCTCCCTTTTTGTCAGGGAGATACTTTCAGAGTCTATGTTAAAGCGGATTTGTTCTGGAGGATCAGAGAAGGTGGAAACAATGGCACATGTAAAACCATTTATTTTTAAACTTCTGTAAAATGCTCCCCTTTTACTTAAGATTCCAGTTAGCCCTGATGAGTTTTACCTATATTTTTTTTCTCTGTAGATCAGTATCTAGCAGAAAAACAAATCTAGTAATGTTCTGCATGGCCTATTCACCCCGTATGGTCAACATACATTATTCCTGTTTCTCTTTGAGTTAGTTGTAGCTCCAGGTCCTATTTTATCTCAGTAATAGGGACATTTTTATTTCAACTATAATACGATCTGCAATTATCGCAAATGTGCCATTCAGCTCACAATAGATGGGCAGAACATTATTCAAAAACTGGGAGGCTTCTCCATTCTGTACCAACAGGATGGAAGAGCAGCAGTTCCCATGACAACCAAGTCTCTGCAAGGAGGAGGAGGAGGAGGAGGAGGAGGAGGAGGAGGAAAAAATGCAACCCTAAAAGAGAGCACACTGACAACACTATATAAAACACCACTCAGGCATTTTCTCCAGTGGTCTTGACATATACAATGGCCTGGCTGTTCAGCTCTATCAGCAAAAGCCAACATTTATAGAGAGGGGAACCAACTGGGCTGGCATCCAAGGCACAAATGGCCTCTGGTCTTAAAGGGAAAGCTTTAGACCAGAGGCCAAAAAGGAGCTTTCTCTTTTCTCACCCCCAATAGAGTTTCTCATTCAGGAAGATCCCCACAGAAGGGATTTCATCCTAGGATTTTCCAATCAACCTAGTCTTTGCTCTAAATTTGCTTGCAGAAGGAAGATGCATTCTAAAATTATTCCTAAATAAACTAAATTAAAAGCTTTCTCACAAAGAGCTGGAATAGTATCATGCCTAACAAATCTCAATCAGAAACAAAAGCAGTCTAAAAGAAAAGGCTGAAGGATTTTTCTTAAGAGCATTACTTTCTTTTTCAAAGGCCTAATTGCTTCCCTTCCCTTGTCAATCTGATTGTAAGGTCCCCTCATTTTGGCTAGGACAGCCAGATAGGCAAGGATGGAGACAAAACGTAAATGCATGACTTATACTACTCCTGTTTTATTCTGCCACTGAATCCCAATATTCAAAAGACTTAATTTAAGATTCTTGCTTGAGTGTGGTCATACAACCAGGAGAAAGAAAACCAATCAGTTACATGCATATTATGATAAACTCCAGTCAGTCAATGACTAGCACAAGATTAAATAAACCCAAATAATTGGAGAAAAGCCTGAGCCTGACATGTTCCATCAGCAAATGTGTTTTTTTTCTTGCCATGCAGCTAGATAACACCATATTTTCAGGAAGTACCTTAGTGCTGCCCCCATATAGTCTGTATTAATCCATTTTTGATCTGAAAAAATATGAGTAAATGAGAGGATTTGGACCTTGTGGCATTTTTGCTAAGATCATAAACAATGTATAAAACTATGGGGTGTATAAAACTTGAGAGTCCCTGTGCTTCCCTTTCTCTCCCACTGCAAAATATACTTTTTAATGGCAGACAATACTGTTCGCAAATCAAAATAGATTTTAAAATCTTCTCTTTTTTTCCATCTTACTTTAATTACTTTATGTGTTTCTTTACCACCTCACTTTTACATCACCTCAGTCCCAAAATTTCAGCGGCTATCAATTCCTACTTCCAATAATTAAGTTGTTTTTTTTAAAGTAATTTAGGAAATAATAACATAGTATCTTATTATTGCCACTCAGAGCCTTCTTATCAAATCAGGAACAGCCAAATTCATACACCTGATCCATCCTCAAATGCCCCATGGAACAGCTGTCTCTTAATTATCTCCCAAAAGGAATGAGGTTATCCTTGTCTCCAGGACTATGCTATTTTAGGGGAACAGTCGCTGTAAAAACAGAAGGCTAGCTGCTGAGTTCCCTTTCATTCACATTCTATAGCTTTTGCCAAATGTTAGCTTCCATATGGAACCATCTCAAACATCAGGTCCCAAACATATACGGCTCAATAGATGGAAACCCTCACTTTGAATTGTATCAGGCGTATCCGTAGCCATTTCAATTTTTGCAATAATGGTCTGACACGAGTAGAGTAGTCTGGTGTAGAGTCAATTACAATCTAGACAAGGGATAACAAAAGTCAGGAGTGGCTGTCACTATACCTTCCAGTTCAGAAAAAGCTGCAGCTGGCACACAAGCAGAACTCTACAAAATATGTCCTGGCCATGGCTTCCACTTGCTTTTTCAGAAGGATTCATGACTCCAGAGAAACGCCATGTGCAAATTAGGCGGCAATATAAACTCCCTAAATAAATAAAATAAACCTCCAATGTGATTCTGCCCTCTATGAGGATCATAACCCCAGTTTTAGTAAATGATGGTCTGCCTCTATAGTCAAAATGCTTTTTGATCAACAGCCATGCTCTTGTTTGTATTAAGCCTGTTTCTCCTCAGCCAGATCCCAACACCCCTCAGACACATAAAAGTAGAACTTTTATGTTAATAATTTTATGACACCAAGATAGAACTTGGACTGTGTCTCTTAATTTGCCCAAGGTACAGATAAACAAGGATACCAATGATATTTCACTCTGTGCTCACAGATGAACTTCCATAACTATTAAAGAATAAAAGGGAGAAGGTGGAGCCCTGAAATATCCAACATCGGTGTGTCTAAGGACACAATATCTTTCCTCCACCAAACAGAATTACTCACTTATGTAAAATCAAGCCAAACAGCTGGTAATACACAATATGACAGGCTGTAACAATGAGTGAAATTTCTTTTTTTTTAAAAAAAAAAGTTTTATTATTTTTTAGACAAACATACACAAACACAACATAAAAACATCAAGCCATCTTCCACTTATGTACATACAGTGTGTCGATTGGTTTACAGATTGTTTTGTGCATCCACTTCATAGTCATCACTTACAATTACTTGTATATGTTCTCATATTATCTATCAAGTATTCCTAAATACATTGATATCATTGTTAATCAATCATTTGACTATACTATTATTCGTTCATGTTATGCAAAATAATCCATATTTTAATTGATTTATTTTATGACAATTCTATCCCATAATTATATTA